TTCTGGGGCTGACGGGATTTTTCAGAAAATTCGTTCCGAATTATTCGCAGATTGCACGCCCGTTAAGTGACCTGCTGCGCGAAGATATTCGTTTTCAAATGGCTGAGCCTCAGATGAACGCGTTCCAGAGTTTGAAGGATGCGTTGACAAAGGAACCTGTCTTGAGCTGAGTTACACACAGACGTATCAAAAGACGGATTTGCAGCGGTATTAATGCAGTGGTTCGATGACAAACTCCACCCTATCCAGTATTGGAACAAGAAGACAACAGAAGCTGAGTCGCCAGCACAGTTATATCCTGGAAGCCAGACATTCAGAAATTATCTGCTAGGATCGTCGTTTAAGCTGATAACGGATTGTTCCGCTTTTAAACAAACTCTTCAGAAGGCGGATGTACCAAGAGCAGTCACGCAGTGGATTGTTTATCTACAGGATTTCGATTTCACAGTGGAACATCGTCCTGAAGAACGATTAAAGCATGTTGACTGCCTAATTCGCTATCCCGATCGTGTTATGCTTGTCTCCTCAGAGATCACAACACGCATCAAAAACGCTTAAAGAAAAGATAAGATGCTGAAGGCAATTGTGGAAATTCTCGAAAGCCGTCCATATGACGGGTATAAGATGAAAGCTTCACTTGTCCATAAGGAGATGAACGGTAATGATTTCCTCGTAGTCCCGAAAGCGATGGAAAAAGAAGTGATTGTTGACGCCCAGAATGCAGGCCACTTTGCACTACAAAAACTCTACATACTATTCAACAACCCTATTGGATTACACATTTGGAGCAAAAAGTTCAGCAGGTTGTGAACAATTGTATAAGATGCATAATTTTCAACAAGAAACTTGGCAAGAAAGAAGGGTTCTTAAACTGCATCGATAAAGGTGATCAACCCCTTCACACGCTGCATGTTGATCATCTGGGTCCCATGGATGCTACTGGAAAACAATTTAAATACATATTTGCGATGGTGGACTCATTCACAAAGTTCATATGGCTTTTTCCTACGAAGACTGCAAGCTGCGGATCACATGAAGGAAAACGGTATTGAACACGTTTTGAGCACAACTGGAGTTTCCCGCGGAAATGGTCAGATCGAAAGGGTGAATCGCACGATCTTGTCGATTACTTCTAAGATTTCGGCAAATGATCCATCCAAGTGGTTTAAGGTAGTACCTAAGGTGCAGAGAGCTGTTAATTCCCACGTACATGCGTCTACTAAGAAGTCACCATTTGAGCTAATGTTTGGTGTGAAGATGAACAATAAACCAGCCAATCGTATTTTACAGCTTCTATGTATTCAAACTTCGACGAGCAACGGCAGCAGCTTAGAAAAGATGCAAAGGTCGAAATTGAACGCGCTCAGGATTCCTACAAGAAGCACTATAACCTAAGCCAGAATTCAATTAAAAAGTTGGTATGGCAGCAGTATGAAGGTCAGCAGTATGGCAACTTAAAAGAGTGGCGGTAGGGCAGTATCGAATAAGCAGTGGCAGTAGAAGGGGGCAGCAGAAAAGAACGACAAAAAAAGCAGCAGACAAGAAGAACCTAATTTTAAAAATATAAGAAACCAGAACTTTTAATATTCAATACACATAACAAATGCTACATAACTATCTATAACAGTGGTCGGCACGCCAATACATTGATATGATTTTACCGCATTAGTGTTAGTAACGAATAGCAAAAAGTAGGCTGTGAGCATGACGTTTCACACATTTATACTGTATGTGTGTGGCAGAGCTCGGGCAGAGAAATTTCCTATGCCCTCGGGATAGGGCCGTGCCGACCACTGATCTATAATTAAACTGAGTGGAGTTTACAACTTTCCTCACATATATGAAGAGCGATAACAACGGTGACAAAAAGGCCGTGGAACCGAGTCACGTCACGGGTGTTTCTAAAGGCCAGATTTTCCGGCAGCTGCAAGACCCGGCCATAATCATAATATATACATACTACCAAGCCCGGCAAACTCCGTTTTGCCGCCAGATGGATTCGTTTTATGTAACATTTCGTTTTGTTATTAAAAGATTAAGACCTTTTTTTTTATTTTTTGTTATTAAAAGATTAAGACCTTTTTTTTTTATTTATATTTGAAAATGCGTGGGTCTCCAATATAAGATGATGGGAGATGTCAGACGCTTTTTAATAAACCACATTTTCATTTTTTTGGTCTGACGTTATCAAAAACAAAGCAGATGGTTTTCCAACTCGTGAGCACGCAACGTATAACTGCCCATGTTAAAATCAATGATTTTCGAAATTTATGCAGCAAACGTTAACCGATTGGCCTTGTCTCTTATGAATTTGAAATGAAAATAATCTCCACAGTGCTTCATTAGTATGACGTATCTGCCCATATGGAAGTTGCTTATTTCGTCATTCGTATTTTCCGACGCAACACCAAACACAGCCATGTCGCTGCCTTTTGTGACGTACTTGCACAAATATTTGATTGATTTGGCCAAATCAACGTTTGCATGTGTTTCGAAAGTTCGTGATAGCAGCTTACAATATGCTACAATGTATTAATTTCCGATCTCAATCTCTTGATTTTTAATTTTAACTTTGATAGTTCGGCCATTATTTTCTTTTGAACGCCGACGATAAACTGGATATCCATCATTCCCTGTGACTGTTTCAGCAAGTAACGGTCGCGGATATCACTTTTGTATCACTTTGTTTTGTGCACTTTTCATCATGGAATGCATAGTCTATGCACCATCTGAGTCGTTACAATGTCGTGTAGATGGGGTTCAGTGACTGGATCAGGAATTTCAGCTGATATCATGTCATATACTTCATTTAAATGTAATTTGTTCAGCAAACAAATAGGGATATGACAATGCGGTAGTCCATGCTTCTGTCATTCCACCGAGTTCATATAACAACGTGTGTCACCAAAAACTCGATACTTAGTAAGCACATCCATCAAAACCTTGAGTTTTTGCTAAAATACCCTGGCGATTATATCATGGCCATGGTTTTTGGCCCAATTCCAACTCTCGTTCAATTTCGGTCCACTTCGGATTGCATGGAAACGTAATAAATAAATCCGGAGTTACACAATTTCGCACGTATGTCATAGCGTCTTGAGCGTATTCTTGCAAGTTAAATTATTTGTAGTTCGGTGAATTATAAAAATGTAAATTTTATTTTTTAATTATACAACTTGGTGTTAAACCTTTATTTATTAAACGTAATTATTACAAGACACTTTGATTTCCCTTAAATATTTTTTGTCAACCGTTCGCGGTCTTGGTCAAAAAGGGACTGCCTTCTTAATTCTAAATCTGATCCAAAGAACCTCGGTCATCAGTTGTGTTTAGATTAGAGACTTAAGATGAAAATGTCGCATCTTATTGTGAAATTCAATTAAGCTGATCGATGCAATTTGGTGGGTACTTGAAACGCAAAAGGCGTAATTGATTGGGCTTCGGAGGGAAGCTGATGTTTACTTTTGATTTTGATTTATTTATGGGGAACCGAGATCGGACCTCAGAGCCAAAGACAAAGCCGAAAGCAAATGCAGAGTTTGAAAGTATTGTTTATAAAATTCATAAGTGGAAAGCCATAAGTGGCCTGGATTTATGGGTTGGATAATTGAGCCAAAGACAAAGCCAAAGGCAAACGCAGAGATTGAAAATATTGTTTATAAAAGCCATAAGTGGCCTGTATTTACGGGTTGGATAACTTGCATGTGGCGTGGGCATCCGATATAAGATGATGGGATAATCGTCAGACGTCCAATATTCTGAACATCATCATCTGAATGAATAGAATCACTCCTTATAGCATAAAGTCCTTACATGTATAGACATACATGTCGACAGAAAATTGTTGGAATAGCCGACGGCACTTTAGAATGACATTCTCTTCATGTGTAAACTCTCTTCAATCATCATACGATACGCATAATAATTCATTGCGCTTAGATTTTTATTCGTTGATTCGTTGATGCAAAATTAAATGAATTGTTAATGGAAACCAATAATAGCAATAATTAGTGTGTGAATATTGTACCTGTAATTGGATCGACCATCTTCAACGTGATGTCGTATCCGTCTTGCCCTTGCCAATAAATGATTAAATATTGTAACGCATCGTACAAACGATGCATGATATTGCTTCTCCGCTGACAACGACAATGTCTCGCGATTTAGTTGGATCTCCAACAATAATTGCAGCAACATCATTAACAGTGGATGCATTGAATCTTCGGACATGTTCACCTGTTGGGGTACAATCCGCTCTTATGTCAAATTTGTACGTATTTGATGGCATTCGTTCCAATGCTGTTTTGAACATATTAACCACAGCCTTATTAGCGTGAAAAAATGCTTGCAACTGTTCAATAACTCGTCTCTTTAAATGTTGCGATCCCTGTATATTGCACCGCACATTTAGCTGGTCCACTATCGACGAAATGAAATATATTTGCAGAAATTGATGCAGTGCATCTGGTGTTGGCATAATTTACGAAGTTCATCTTACCACAAAACAAAACGAATAACTTATTTTTTCTTTCAAATTTTTTCACAATTTGACAGAAAACACATTGCCGGTTTTTCCCATGAAATCAGCGGAGAACAATGAGTAGCTGTCAAACAATGTTTTACGCGCCTGCGCCCTCTACTTAAAATATTGGTTTATCGAATAGTATGTTTAACCACTAGCCATACAGCATGTAATAGTTAACCAGCCTGAGACCTTTCCAACGAATGAAAAACCGTTTTAATCGGTCATGCCGTTTTCATGTGATGTCGTGACAACGAAAAACTGGTTTCATTTTTATATAGGTATTACATATAGATGTATGCATGTTACACATAAATATTTTTTGGTTATTTTAGCTTGGTTTATTTAATAACTGAAGTTAACATTTTAATGCTTAGACCATATTCTTAAATTATTTTAATGTTTATATTCATATTATATTAAATAATATATACCAATGCTAACTAAATATCAAATATTTTATTTCTGTTTATTTTAGTTCACACGCAACGACCAACACATCCTGGATCTGAAAACATTTATAGGACTTCGGACTCGGTACCATCACCTCATTCCCCTTGGTTACCTTCAAATAGTGGCTCATTGTCTATTTTCTTCACTGCAAACAGAAAATATTTTCTCAAGTTGTTTTCAGTTTATTTTTTTAATGCGCGAATGTAGACATATACTTACTCTACAAACCACTATTAATTAATACTTAATAAGAATACAAATAAATTCTACTGATTGGCACCTAATGCTTGAATTCCAGTTAAATGCTCGAAACACATTTTTGCTGATGTGGCACACATATCCATTTTTTTAAAAAACTACTCACAATAGAATATTTATTATCGGCTAAAATTTTAATTTATTTAAAATATCTTATTTTTCGTTTTCTTAGTGTGCAATACTAAATATACAATGCTTGTATCTACAATCTACTATAATACTATATTAAAAACTCGGAACTGGTTTACTTATGAATGGCAGTTGTAATTGTACTACATTTAAAACATTCTGGCACTTCTTTAATAAACTAGAACAACTTCACTCAACAGCAAAAAACCTAAAAATGAGAAATAATTAAGAACGAGTGAGAAAAATTATTTTCCAATGCAATTTTTTTCTAATGATTCAATTTAATTTACCACAAACACGACAATACTAGATGGTTGCTTCAATTGTTCAATTTCCAAACTTCTATTATTCATTATTTTCCAAACGGCTTCTTATCGAGAAGGAGCAAGATGTTACAAGAAGCTTGCATGAGAATTTAAAATATATTTACAAATACTTAGCAGCACATTGCGCGAAATGTACCATTATGCATCCACTATGTACCATTATGTAAGCCTGCAATGGATCGGTCATAAACTTCCGTTCTTCTTTCCGTAGGTCCAATCTTTACTCAATCTTTAGAATTCTATTATAACCATAATTTTATCTAAACGTGTTTAATGATTAGACCAGTGGGAGGAAAACTCTAATTTTCCATTCCGCGTGCATAAAGTGAGAAATCGCAGCGCTGCCGACACACTGACAGTGCGAGCACTCTCATATTTTTTTAATAGCTCTCTCATTTGCTCTCATTTTGACTAATTTGACAGCCCAAACTTAAAAATCCAAATGTTTACACTGAGAAAAATGTTCTCCTAATTGGGTTGGAACAAGTTTTCTCCATAGAAAATATAGAGGGGGAACAGTAGTTTTTTATTTGTTTAAGAACTCTTGCTAGCAAAGCTCTCTTTAAAATAAAATAAACTATTTTAGTGGCCATTCCAACTTTTGAATTAACGAAAAATGAAATAAACAAGAAAGGAAAGCTAACTTCGGGCGGAGCCGAAGTTGATATACCCTTGCATTTAAAACTGGATATATATCGGAAACATCGGATAAAAATGGCCGATCCTTATGAGAATATTATAGTAAATCCAATTAATTACAACAAAATATATAAAAAAAAGTCCCAAGCTTCTATCTTTAAAAATACCAAAGTTGGTATTTCTACCAAATACCATTTTCCGATTTCCAAAGGAAAGATGGGTGTGTGCCAAGTTTCAAGTCGATAGCTTTAAAACTGAGAGACTAGTTTTCGTAAAAACAGACAGACGGACAGACAGACATGCTCATATCAACTAAGGAGGTGATCCTGATCAAGAATATACATACTGTATAGGGTCGGAGATGTGTCCTTCACTGCGTTGCACACTTTTGGACAAAGTTATAATACCCTGTGCAAGGGTATAAAAACTACGTTTTTTCGCTCAGTGAATGCTCTGCTCTCATTGTTTTTCTCTGCTACGGACACAGTCAAATTTAAAACATGTGTAGGACATAGTCCTCTTATGGTTACTAAAATTTGATAGGTTGGTTCAGGATAGGTTGGTGTAAAAAAAAATAAAGTGTGAAAAAGTTGAAAGTTTTAATTTTATAACGTATAAACGGATATGCTTTTATGGTGTATGGAGGTGATTCAGGTAAAGAAGATATATTTATAATTTTTAGGGTCAAAGATGTATCCATAATAATGATACCCTCTGCAAGGATATAAAATATGTACATTTATATGTTTAAGTTTTTTTTTGTGAAACATTTAAGTTTATTATAATAATGGGAATTTTTTGTGAAACATTTAAGTTTATTATAATAATGGGAATAATAAGTCAGTACACGCCCAGTATCACATGCATGGGCGTGTAAAATTTGGTACAAGCGACAATCAGAAGAAAAAATATCGAAAATACGGTTAAGGACGGATAAGGCCCTAAATAGATCTTTTAAATCGTCAGTTGTCAATTGCTATTTTACATTTCTGAAAAATGTATGAGCTTTTAATTTTCTGGGAGATGAGCTAATACTTTGGCAAACTCCAAATACCCGCTGGAACGAGCAGGTTCCACAGCGCAACAAGTTAAGGAATTTTTGCGCGAAAACGAATGAGGGATAGCCGAGTGGTCGAGATTATCCTCGAGACATCCACTTTTTGTTTATTTAAAATCTATTTTTAATAGATTTTGTTTTGTTTTTTAGTGTTTTCCAAAATTTATAATCCAATCAAGAAAAATACAACATTTTAAAATCACCTTAAGCCTAGTACTCTGACGACGAAAATCCGCTGTAACACGTGTGATAGCGAAATCGCTCTTTATTTGGCTACCGAGCTAGTGTGACCAAAAAAATTAAGGAAAAGGGTAATACTGAACAGCTGTTGCTTGTTAACAAAAAACAAATAAGCAAGAATGAATTCAAACCGATTGGATTTTGGTGTTTTCTTTATGTATTTCGCCGCTAAGGAGCTGATAAAGAAAGAGATTAAGGATTGCCCTCCCAGGCATTATTTAGGCTTATGGCATTAAAATGCCCCTTGTGGGTCAAATCTCATATTATGGGCTTCGCCCTGACCGCACTTATTAACTTAACTTTGTCCTCGCGTGCCGAAAATTTTTCTGTCCGACAATTATATTTCTCTTTCAATTTTCGCTCTAGTTTGGGGTGTAAAAATAAATCAAATGAATTATTGTTGCACCCCGAGATCAGCTGTTTACTATTTTGATCTGGCAAAGCCATTCAATTTGACAGCCATCATTTTCGTCGTTAGAGTACCGGCAAAATCTAGGAGGCACAAATTTCTTCTCCTTCCTTTTTTCACACCGCTTTTTTTATATGGAGTTCGGCCGCTGTAACACGTTTTACAGCGGATTTTTGTCGTCAGAGTACTAGGCTTCAAACTTAACCTTAACAATAGAATTCTCTCTTTCCCTCCTTCATCAGCCAGCCGTTTGACGTGGAACACGCTCTCAAATGTTTTAATTTTTACAGCGGGTTCCACGACGCGGCCTGCCAATACTCCTTAGAACCCGCACTTATAGAGATTTTTACCACGGGTTACACTACGAACTGAGACGATGTTAACCCGCTGTAAAAATCTATAGGAGACATCTCCGACCCTGTAAAGTATATATATATTCTTGATCAGGATCACTGAGTTGATATGAGCATGTCCGTCTGTCCGTCTTCCTGTCTCTCTGTTTCTTTAAGTTTTAAAGCTATCGACTTAAAACTTCGAACACACTATTTGTTCTACTACCACATCGGCGCATTGTAAACAGAAAAGTTGGCTAATTAAAATTTGGGAGCCAAAACATTTATACGCCGTCGTGGGAGCAGTCACGACGAGTTGCATTGACAGTCATACAAAGGCACATATTTTTTTGACGCATGCCTGTAAAGCACATGTCGGCACGGCCCTATCCCGAGGGTATAGGAAATTTCTCTGCCCGAGCTCTACCACACACACACAGTATAAATGTGTCAAACGTCATGCTCACAGCCTACTTTCTGCTATTCGTTACTAACACTAATGCGTTTAAATCATATTAATGTATTGGGGTGCCGACCACTGCTGTAAAGAGTTCTAAAAATTGAATCGTACGTTTGTGCGTTCTCCCCTTACCAACAAGCTTGACGAAAAATGTTGACTGTTTGGGGCCCTGATGACCCATCTATATACTTTATAATCTTTGATACAAGTTTACCACCGGTGAAGGTATAATAAATTTGGTGTGTGCAAAGTATGCAAAACAGTGAAGTGAGTGAATAATATATACTGGGTTATGTATGGGTATGTATGGGTGAACTTCCGAAACGCACCCACGCCTAATTGGGCTTAAAACGTACAGGGTACAGCCATTCTTATGTTCTGATTCCAGTAAAAATAGTAAAAACATCCGAAAAGGATCTTTTCTGGAAAGAAAGAGGTAAAACCTATTTGTGTTTGTTTATTGCTAATATTTCATTGTATGACATGTATGACCTTTTCGAGTTTAAAGCCTAGTACTGTGACGATGAAAATCCGCTGTCGCACGAGTGACAACTGTCAAACTCCATATAAAAAAAACGGTGTAAAAAAAGGAAGAAGAAGAAATTTTTGTCTCCTAGATTTTCCGGTACTCTGACGACGAAATCGAATTGAATGGCGTTGCCGGATCAAAAAAAATAAACAGCTGATTTTGGGGTGTTGGAAGAATTAATTTTATTTATTTCGATAGCTAAAACATGGAGCGAAAATTTGAAAGAAAAAATTGTCGGACCGAAAAAATTTCGGCCCGCGAGGATAAAGTCAAGCTTATTAGTGCGGTCAAGGCCCATTATATGGGATTTGACCTACAAGGGGCATTTTAATTCCATAAAATGGCATAGAAATGATTTGTGATTGATTTCGATTTTGACCTAGTTTTCTTTTCCTAATCAGCTCCTTAGCGGGGAAATACATAAAGAAAACACCAAAATCCAAGCGGTTTGAATTCATTTTTGCTTATTTGTTTTTTGTTTACAAACAACAGCTGTTCAGTATTACCCTTTTTCTTCATTTTTTTGGTCACACTAGCTCGGTAGCTGAATAAAGTGCGATTTCGCTAGCGGATTTTCGACAACTGATTTTCGTCGTCCCAGTACTATGCTTAAAACTGTATACTATAGTCCAAACAACTTGATTGGTTGGCCAAAATTTAATTAATGACCATCTGACAGACCATTAATTTTATTAAAAAATTGCATCGATTTTGCCACATTTGCGAAATCCGAGACTAAACTCACCTGAATATACTCAAACCCCTGTGAAGAGGAAAAGTGAAAAATAATTGTATTTGTCCTTTCAACAGTAAAAGTTTGCTTAGAAATCTCTATTTTAGAAAGGTGTAGAATGTGAGTCCAGCCTAGTACAACCCTAAAACCTATTGTACGTCGTAGAGTTATTAATTCTTTTTCGGTTGTTTATAGTAAGAAGTACCACTATCAAACACTTTTTTTTAAATTTGGTTTTATAGCTTATAACTTCAAATTAAGTTAAAACTCAATTACCCAAGGTGATTTTTTTGTTATTAAGGGGAGAGTAAGGTCAAATCATGCGAAAAAAGCCATGTTTTTGTGATTTTTTTCCTGACGACACAGTTAAAATTTATGTATTCAACCAACGGTATATTAAAGTATGACATTTGAAGAATGTTCTATCAAATTTTTACAAAAAAATATTTAAAAATATGGCAATGGTAGCAATTGTCCGGACGTGTCGCCAAAAAA